AGTTATAAGTTTTAATTCTGAATATCAAAGCTTTAGAGATTCTTGGAGAACATGGTTTAAGAAATACATAGACAGCATATACCAAGAGGCATTAAAAACTAATAATTTCTAGACTAAGTGAAAATCTTTGACAAAGAAAACTGTAAAAATGAATTGATTTTAGGAAAGCTAATTCAGAGAAAGTATTAAGGGTGACAAAGGAAAAAATAATAGAGTGAGACTAAATTAAATCTAAAATTAAATTCATAGTAACTATCAATTAGGAGTTTAACAGTTTTAATCTCCACTCACAAAAACTTTAACTTCTAAACACTTAAAATTACTCATAAAAAGTGGGTAGGAAAGCATTTACAAACACATTTGCAATTTCTTTATTAATTCGTTCAACTAACATCTCTGATACATTTTCTTCACTACAGGTGCTTCTGTTCTGTTCTATGTGAACCCCTTACCCCGGCCACATGAATCAATTACCCTTCACCACAGCTGTTTGAACCAGGGTGTTCCATCCTCCAGGTTGATCTGTATTCTTTTAAGTGACTCAGGAGGCGGCCTGGCAAAAAGCATAGCAAAACAAAGTACACCATCTACATTCGATTTCCTGAATTACTTAGATTCTTTTTCCTTAGAAAGTTGAATGTGGTACATAAAGAGAAAGTATGTAGTTGGTAGGGTAGTGAGATAGAAGCTAAATAGACACAGAGAAAGAAGACAAACAGCAGAGACCATGAGGTAGCCGAAGATATGAGGAAGCAGAAGCTATGAGAAAGCAGAATCTCTATACATATAGAATTAGGGGTGAGGCGATTGGTTAGCAGAAGCAGGAGAAAATTTAGCAGAGACAAAGAGCAGATGTGTCTTGGTAATACTTAAGTACTAGAGAAGGGAGAAGGAAACAAGCAAATACATCTGTTGCTGAGAATATTTGAGCAGTTATGAATGCCAAAGGGCTTTTTAGTTCCCAGACTACGCTCGAGTCTAGGCTCTGTGAAGCTAAGCTCTTCCTATAGTCCCACAGGGTGTGGCTTTGTGGAATTCCTTTCCCTCTATTTTCTCATAGATTATTTCTTTGAACCCCTATTACTAAGAGACTCTCATACACCATTAAGGAGTTTGAACTTTAATATGAAAATAATAGAAAATCATAAAAGACATTCATATTTTCATTTTAGAAAGAGGACTCTGGGACCAGTGTGAAAACTAATTGTGGAAAATAAATTGAAAATGGACTTAGAGGTAGGGATTATACTTTGAAAACTGTTGTTTGAAACCAGTGAGAGATGATGATGATGGCCTGAACCAAGCTAGTGAGAATGGAGAAAAGTGGATGAATGAAAGGAATTTTATTTCCCTTAGATGCAGTGGATGAGGGAGCCGGAAAAGTCAACTTTGATTCTTAGTTTCCTGGTCTGGGCAACCAGTGGATGGTGGTGCCTTTCATTGGGAAAGATGATGTATAAAGAGGACCAACTCCTTTTTGAGGAAGAGTGTTAGGTACCAATGAGACTTCCAGGTAAAGATGTACAGTAGGCAATGTCTGGATCTCACAGAAGAGCGCTGGAGCTGTAACTGTGTATAACGGCTTGATATCATGATTTTCATGGATATCTGGGCAGCAGTTTCTTGGTTTATTCCCACAGCCCTAAATTCAGGAACATACTTGAACTAGGCTATGTTAGCACAGGGAAGCTGAGAATAAAGGATTTATTCATATCTGAATATCCTCTGTACTGCAACTTAGATTTCACGTTGTGCATTGTATGACATGAGATTAATGAGGTACCTTGCCTCTCGGCTGATATTGCATGTAAGTGGTGTCTCTGTTGTATTTTGGTTAATCTGAACATTCTATTGGCATTTGTCAACCTGGAGGTTATACAGGGTGATATCAATAGATTGGTAGTAATTGAGCCACTGGTGTGCATAAAATCACTCTGGGAGAATAAATTAAGAGAAGAAACCATAGAATTCTAGGAAATACTAATATCCAAGACAGGGGTGGGGAACCTGTTTTCTGCCATGGGCCATGTGGATATTCATAACATCATTCTCAGCCATACAAAATTATCAACTTAAAAATTAGCCTGCTATATTTAGTCAAACATTTAATTAACTCACCCCTAATGCCTTGGCAGGGCCAGATATTTCCCACCCCTGATTTAAGGAGTAGGTGGACAAGAGAAAAGTCCAAGAGAATAAATGAATGATGGTAAAAACTGGGGGATTGAATAACTAGAAAGGTAGATTGAGCAATACTAGTATTTGTATTTCATCATTAAACTGAGATAGATATTTCAGAATGATATAAGTTTTCTTGTTACACATGAATATATGCTCATGGTTAAATAGGTGAATTTTCTAAAAGATTTATAGCAAAGGTTCAGAAAAAGATGGGTTTCCTAATTTTCAACTAAAGTTTGCTGATAATTAAGTCTACCTAGAAATGAATAAAAGGCAGAGTGAGTAATGATTGCAAAGAGTTGTCTTTTTCTACTGCCTATTTAAAACATTTACTATGTGCCAGGCATTGTGCCTTATCAGCAATATCTCCTTTAGATATTAGAAAGACCTCATGAGGAAAGCACTTGTATTTTCTTCTTTTCCTGATGTAAAAACAACTGAAGATTAGAGAGAGGAAGGGACTAAGTCCTGTGAGGACTAAGATGCAAACTGAGGGTTTTTTACTTCAGAGCCAAAGGGTTGACTACTGCTTGATAATACTATGAAAGCATTACTTATAATAATAAAAGATTAAGTTTATCAGGATTTATTAATGTAATTTTCAATGAAGATGGATTTTGTAGTCACAGAAGACCATTTCACACTCATACCAACACTTACAGGTGTGCTACAATTTTGAAAGTACATCTTGAAGTACTTAAGAACAATATGTATTTGAATTTTGGTTTTTCCATTAAAAGAGAAATGATTCTGTTTTTCAGAATGCTAGCTCCTGAATTTAGTTTATATCTTAACTTATAGAACCAAAAATTGTTTTACCTCTGCTAACTTGCTAGGTTTTGGCCTAAAATTATGCACTGGGGCAAGACCATCTCTCTAGGCATAGGTATGTAGAAAACTATTTGGGTTGTTTTTTTTTTTAAAAGAAATTTACAGAATACTAGGTATGGGTAATAGTTGCACCTTAAGAAAAGATTGTCCTTTCAAATCCTTATAAGTATTGTTTTTAATTAATGAATTCCAATTGCATATCCTTAACTTTATATAACAGAGATATAAAAGACTCTAAGAAAGTTGATTTTGAGTCAATCATGCCCAAGTTATTAATAATAATAAAAAATAGCCCAATTGAGTGTTGACCTGTGAACCAGGAGGTCACGGTTCGATTCCCTATCAGGGCACATGCCTGGGTTGCAGGCTCCATCCCCAGTCCCTGCAGGAGGTAGCTGATCAATGATTCTCTGTCAACATTGATGTTTCTATCTCTCTCTGTCTCCCTTCCTCTCTGAGATCAATACAGTATATTTTTAAAAAAACTAAATTTCAAAAGGAAAATTAGGGCAGGAACTTGATCCTAGAATACTGGGCCAATTACTAGAAGATCATTTTTAAAAGCTCCTTGGGGCCTTAAGAATAATGTTTGCGGGGCGGCAGGGGGGTGGAATCAATTGAGGAAAAGGAGACATATGTAAAACTGTAGACAATAATAAAAAAAAGAATAATGTCTGCCACATATTTCACCTACGCTTATTTTTTTTGTTAAGTTCACAGCTTTTAATACATAAACCTTATACCATAGGAGCTGTCAAAGTTCCCAGAAGTTGTGTAATGCCCATAAATGATCCAAATTACAGTTCTAGAAGTTAGAACAGTATCTCATCTTACTCATCCTCATCTGCCACCTTCATGCATCCTTGTTTGCTTCTCAGAATAAAAGAAGAAATTATTTAGTTTACAAAGTAATTGTGGTACAAGTCTTTATTTTACAGTCAACCATTGCCAACTGCCACCCACTGACAATATCGTAGTTCTGTAAACCTTCAGTTGTCTGAAGGTGTCTATTTCTTCATCTCCCACCTCTACCTTGGTTCAGGTTTTCACTCTACCTCTCTCTGCTTTCTACTCAGTAGCTGTAAAGTGTCTGGGGCAAAAGCATGCTGACCTGAATCTTCGGAGAAGCTCAGATGATTTTTATCTTTATTTTGCCTCACGTGTATTTGACACTGCAGACCTAATGAAGGCTTTTACATCGGTTCCTTATTTGAGCGTCAGAACTCTGCTTTTAGTAGGATAATCATTCATTCAACAACTATTTATGGATCATCTGCTTTGTGCAAAGCACTGTCCTAGGCACTCGAAATACAGCAGGGAACCAAACGGAGGGGGAGAAGGCATTCCAGCGCTTCTGAAACTTTCATTTTATAGGGGAGATGGACATGAGGTGAAAGGGGAGGGAAGGTCGTGTAGCGCCAGGTCGGTGTACCCAGAGATTTTGGCTTTTACTTGGGTTGCAATGGAAAGCCGGCGGAGGGTCTGGCAGTTTTATCTGTCATTTTACAAATGGCAGAAGTAGTGGCTACTTCGCAGTAAGTGCACCCCTATGGAGGAACTGCAATTTAGGTGCTCAAGGGGGTAGAAAACTAAAAGGAGGTAGGCGTTGATTTGGGGACACTAGCCCAGAGATTCGAGAGAGCAGAAATGAAGACAAATGAAGATTAATCCAAAAGGAAGCAAACTTGTTTACAACGCAATACGCAAAAAGATACGCCAAGGAATAGCTGGTGCTCCGTTCAGGCTCTTGTCACCGAAAACGAAGCAAATCTAGATGAGGCAAGGGGAGCGCTAAACCTACTCGGATGCTTGCGCCCTGGCCCGGAACCGAGTTGGCCCTTAGCGTGGCCACGCCCCTGACCACGCCCCCGGCCACGCCCTGCCCGCTGCTCCCCGCCCGGGTTGGCTACGGCGGGGGCGGTGGCCACGGTGCCCGGAAGTGCCGCTGACGTGTCCCCCGCCGCGCTCGGAATTGTGGGCCACTTGGCTAATGGCGTCGGCGAATCTGTGGGGTTCGGGGAGCCGGCGCTGAAGCTTGTGACGACCGGTGTGTCTGGGCCCCGCGGCAGCGGGAGGGACCTGCCCGCTTAGGGGGCTCCTCGGCCGGAGCCGGCGGGGCCTAGCGGGGCGGGCGACTGCAGGGGCAACGCGGAGAGGAGCCGGGGGAGTTGCGAGGAGGCTGCCGGAGGCACTCGGGCTCGCTCCGGTGGGCAGTCCAGGCCCCGCGGAGTCCCCGCGGAGCCCCAGAGGCGGGCTGCGGCGGGGCCGGAGGTGCCTGGGGGCAGTTGCCTGTCGCCCCCGGGAGCTGACAGTGCCGGAGTTCGTTTGCGCCGCTCGGAAATTGGCTCGGAACTTGGTGGATCATGTCCAGCACCAACAGCCCCGAAGCGGTCAAGAAGCTGCTGGAGAACATGCAGGGCGACCTGAGGGCCCTGTCCCTGGAGTGCAAGAAGAAATTCCCACCTGTCAAGGAGGTAAGCCTCGGCGGCGCCGTCCTCTCAGACCCGGTCCAGTATTCACTTGGCCTTGCCCTGTCCGGTTCCACGAACGCGTCTGATGGTTTCCTGGGGAGAGGTCTGCGGCGCTCTGATTTCCTCTGCGCTCCTGTGCTCGGGAGCGCTCCTGTGCTCGGGAGCGAGGAATGGAGTTCGCGGTGTGAGCCGATTCAGCCCCTTCTGGCCTTTTCCACGCTCGGAAAAGCCAAGCCAGAGTTGAAAAAAAATTTTTGTTTGTTGCTTCTAAAAGCTCGCATTCATCGTGTGGTGAAATCCGTGCTCCTCACCTGTATAGTATAGGTCACTCCGTTGGAAGTAGCTTTTCTGGTCATGTTGTCATGCAGCTGAACTCTGTGTCAGCCCATGAAGTATTATGGAGTTGCCCAGATCCACCTAACTTAGGACGCGTATTGACGACACACAGTAACCATGTTCAACCTTGTTATGAGCAAGACGAAAGTGGGAAGTTTGTGCTAGGAATACAGCTTAACCTCTCCGAACTTCAGTTTTACTTCAGATGTAAAATAGGGTTAAAGGGTGCATTTATTAGATTACGATGGGAAAGTTGTCAGAGCAGAAAAGGGTATTATTAAAGAAGCTCATATAATTAAATAGTCTATACAAATTAAATTCTCTAAATACTTAATTGAAATTTTTAACATTTATTCATTATTGGCTCTTTCTCTTAAGGTGCCATTTAATTTCTCTTAAACCTTTTTAAAACGCTGCTTAATTTATTTCCTCATTTCTGGAATAAGATATTTCAGTGCTATTTTTGTCAAAGCAATTATTTTATTTTTGTTGTTGTTTTTAAATATATCTTTATTGATTTCAGAGAGGAAGGGAGAGGGAAAGAGAGATAGAAACATCAGTGATGAGAGAGAATCATTGATTGGCTGCCCCCTGCATGTCCCCCACTGGAGCTCAAGCCCACAACTCAGGTATGTGGTCTTTGACCAGAATCAAACCTGGGACCCTTCAGTCCTCAGGCTGATGCTTCATCCACTGGGCCAAACCAGCCAGGGCTTATTTTTATTTCCATTTAATGTAGTATAGTATATCTGCAGTTTCATTTACCAATTGCCCTAAAAGTTCACCAAGGAATTTTGAAGTATTTTTCATAATTATTTAAATGTTTTGCCTTTATTATTGTAAAGATTCGGTAGTTAGAACTTACCCCAAAAAGTTTGGATTTTAGGCTTCCAAGGAACCTTAACTTGTCTGCAAGTGCTTTGGTCTCATTTTTAACGAACATCATCTAGTATTTCTTTAATAAAGTGAGCAAATATTACTCAATGTTGGAAATCAGATGTACCACTTTTGGAAAGATGATCGTCATTATGGTATGTTTTATTTCAGATATTAAAAAATTTATTTTGATATTGGTTTTTATTTTCCCTATATCATCTTCTGTTGAAAGTAATAACTAATTTTAAAAATTAGGCTGTTCCCATTATAAGAGAAATGCTCTTAAATGTCAAATCCTATTTTATAATTTTAATAATTTATATAACTGACTTTATAAATTACATAAAAACTGTGATTCTTCTGTAGGCCTCTAGTATGAGAATTCAGTTGACATTTATTAAATTATTTCTATTGGAAAAGGCATTCAGAGTTCCAAACAGGTAACTTACAAAGTTCTAGAACTCAATTCATTTCTAACCTAGGAACTTTCAGTATAGCTCATTCGCTGTTTTACTTGTACACTGGCTAAAGAGATATTTAGTAATTGCACCTAGTCCAGCCGTGGGCAAACTACGGCCCGAGGGCTGGACCCGGCCCGTTTGAAATGAATAAAACTAAAAAAAAAAAAGAACTGTACCCTTTTATGTAATGATGTTTACTTTGAATTTATATTAGTTCACACAAACACTCCATCCATGCTTTTGTTCCGGCCCTCCGGTCCAGTTTAAGAACCCATTGTGGCCCTCGAGTCAAAAAGTTTGCCCACCCCTGACCTAGTCTTTGAGGTAATGACAGAAGTAAATGTTGTGATTATCTATGATACATAATTGTATACATAGTGCATACTCTGTAAGAATTTACTGAATGTTAAGAACTTTGATTCCATAACTAATGATACTTCTAATATACTAAGGCCCTATTTTAGAAATTGAAAAATGACTTTGACTATTTCACAAGTTTAAAACAAGAATGAAAGAGCCCTAACCGGTTTGGCTCAGTGGATAGAGTGTCGGCCTGCGGACTGAGGGGTCCCGGGTTCGATTCCGGTCAAGGGCATGTACCTTGGTTGTGGGCACATCCCCAGTGGGAGGTGTGCAGGAGGCAGCTGATCGATGTTTCTCTCTCACCGATGTTTCTAACTCTCTATCCCTCTCCCTTCCTCTCTGTAAAAAAATCAATAAAATATATTTAAAAAAAAAAGAATGAAAGAGAGAGTATGGATTAAAAAGAGATTTACCAGATATAATTACCAGGGCATAGTGACCTTTGCTTATGTAGAGAGATAAATCTATGATGCCTCTCAGATGTCTAGCTTGGGAAACAGAGTGGGTAACTAAAAGAAGGAATATAGGAGGAAATGTTTTGGTGGAAAATGAGTAGTCACGAATATATTAATTAAGTTTAAGATTTATGTGTGACATTCATGTGGAACTGACCCAGTAGGTATTTGAAAATGATGGTTTGGTACTTAAGAAGGAGGCCTAAAATTTCAGATTTAGGAGTATCAGTTTATACATGATAGTAGAAACCATAAGAGTAGATAAGATGGGCCAGGAAGAGTGTGTAAGTGAGAGCATTAAGACTAAAGAAGGAACTTTGGGAAACAAAAGCATTAAAGGGAAAGAGGCATGTGGGCAGACTAAGGTTAAGGATTTGGGAGAGAAAGGGAATACTTGCTAGAGCAAGGTCCCTGAGATAGCTGGAGTTTTAGGGCCATAAGTGTATGAACTAGCTTTCAGTCTGAGATAGAACATTCTTTTCTGCCAGAGGAAGGGAAAAGGAAAACATGGGTTTAAATCTGATAAATTTGTATGAGGGGCATAGTAGAGAGGAAGTTGTGGACAGTTTGACCTATGACTTTGTTTTCTTGGTAAGATAGGGAAACAAGCTTGTTGCTGTGATTAATTAGTGATGAAAGAAGTGATGGGTAGGAAGTTTGAGAGGAGATTTGGATCACATTGGCAAAGTGGAGGAGAAATTCATTGGAATATGTCTTGGCAGGGAGAATGGTTGAATGATGATAGATCATAAGATCTAGATTGTATTCCCAAAGAAGGAAATTCAATAAAACTTTGATTGATTGGAAGAAGATGGATGGGTTAAGGGTCTAGCGGTAGCAATTTAATCAAAGAGCAAAGGATTTGGGGAGTGAGAGAGTTAGAAGGATAGGGGTTGGGACAATAGTGGGACATTGGATTTTAGAATACCAAGTAGTGTACGGTAGAGGATGATGAGGTTCAGGGAGTGGGTGGTAGAAGAGCAAAGGGAATGAAGGTCGTTTGAGTTGAGGTGGTCAGAATTATGTTTTTTAGTGGATTTTTTTCTTTTTTATTGAAGTGGATTTGGTAAGGGTATAAATAATAAAGTACAAATAGTCTTCCTTGGCTGGTCTTTTTTTCCTCTTGCCCATTCAGGCCTGATAAAAGTTGCAACTTACCATAACAGGATTCTCCCCTTAGCCAACTCTTTGGGTACTGAGGCCCAAGTCAGTTTGCTCTTCTGATAGGGAGATCTCATTTTCACGACCTTATGACAGTGAAGAATGAGGGTTGGATAATGTTGTTTTTTCCCCACGTAGGTTTTAATTTTATTCAGATTCTTATTGGAGGAAGAGAAAACCATTAGTTATTGAACTGTTCCAATCCCAAAGATAAACCCATTTTACCTAAGACGAAGTTCGATCAGTTTATAAATGATAGAGCAGGGATTAAAGCAGAGTTTAAGTCCAGAGATTCAACCCAGACTCCTTGCCCAATTTCTATTCCTCCATGCTGCCTCTTCAGGTTGAAATTATGTTGAGCAAAGGGGAAAAAAAGTCTTATAGTCAAATTATGTGGTTCCAGTTATGAGTTATTGGTTCATTTAAGTCAACTTTTGATGTCCTGCTTGCTCCCAGGCTATCAGTTCAAAAAGACTCTCTGATCTGTTCCCATGAGGTGTATTCCAAGATGGTCTTCTCATGGGTCCTGCTTTAATCCAGTTGATATCTTCACAACTTCATTTTTGCCTCCTCTTGCAGTTGGCGTCCATCCATACAGTTATACTGATAGACCTGCTATCACTGTGTCCATACATTGGTAATTTTTCTCTCACTTGATACTTTAGCTTAAACATTTTCTTTTCTTTTTTAAATATATTTTATTGATTTTTTAAGAGAGGAAAGGAGAGGGATAAAGAGTTAGAAACATTGATGAGAGAGAAACATCGATCAGCTGCCTCCTGCACTCCCCCTACTGGAGATGTGCCCGCAACCAAGGTACATGCCCTTGACGGGAATCAAACCTGGGACCCTTCAGCCTGCAGACCAACGCTGAGTCCACTGAGCCAAACCGGTTAGGGCTAAACATTTTCTATATGTACAAGTCTTATTGTTATTTCAATGAACGCATTATCTTTCATCATAGTCCATTCACCATAATTCACTTAACAACTTCCAGAATACTTGCTTTCAGTTTCTCTCTGCTGGTATTGATAATGTTGGTAATTAACATCTTCAGACACAGCTTTTTTTTTTCCTTATGGGTTACTGACTCATAAAGGGAATAAAATCCCTTGTGTATTTTGAAAGTAACTACTGGAATCTGTGAAGCAGTATTTACATCTTCGAAAAATGGCTGTGTATAAGCTGCAAAATTCCCCCTTGTTGCCAGCAAGAGAGGAAGGTTTGGGACACAGATTTTATCACCGCTCTCTTTTGTAGAGACCTGTGAAAACTGTCCAGTGGCATTTGGACTGTCAAGTCCATTTAATTTATTGTTCCTCTTTTTTCTTTTCTTCTTTTAAATATTATG